AACGATTAATATGGCCGCCGATTCAGTGGTACCAATCAAGTGAAAAAAATTGTAATATTTGTCCGCACTTAAATTTTATTTGGCGACAATGAATCTTTTAAAGCAAGCACCACATTCAATTGGTGAATTTCGTGGCACGAAATTTAAAATATGGGAAAAGCAAATTTTATTATCAGATCCTTCTTTCTTGGCCCAGATGCTCTGTTTCCAGATATAATATAGTCAACATTTCACATTCAAAGTTCCAGTGGTGCCATTATAACCGGGTGACTATTAATAATTGTGATTTTTCTGTTAGCAGTAAATCTATATGTCACGGGTGTGACACATTGAGGACATTTTTTCTTTTTTCTTTTAAATCAGAGATACTTTAGAACAAATATCATTGGTAGCATGTAGATTACAGTATCAAGAATTATTTATAAAAAAATTGACAAGATACAATGTGTGATAGACTGAGAAAACAATATATGGCGTCACGGGTGTGATTTCTAGAAAATTGAGAATAATGTTTTAGAGAAAAATTTTACTATTTCTGCGAATATCAAAACCATTTTTGCTGTTCCTTCAATACACAAACTAACTAACGATGAATAGATAACGGTTTTTGGTCATAAATTACTTGAAATAACCTATGAAACAATGAAGAATACAAGAATTTTAAAATAAAAAATCCAAAAAATTCAAAATGAAAATCGAGAAAGTAAAAAAACGAGACACCGAAAAAGATAAATTAAAAATAAAACTGCAAAATCGGTAATTGAAAAATTGGAAAATCGAAAAAATAAAAAATCCCGAAATTGGAATATCAAAAAATCGAAAAACGAAACAGCTTTGCAATTATTCAATTTTTAAGTTTTCAAGTTCTTGATTATCAGTTTTATTCAAAATAAAATTTTGCAAAATCGAATAACTGTAACACCGAAATATTAAAAAATGCAACAATTAAAAATCGAGAAATTGAAAAATCGACAAAATGCAACAGTTCTGGAATTTTTCGATATAATAGTTTTCAAATTCTCGATATTTCATTTTTTAATTGTTCAACAAAAGGACAAATTTATTCAAACTAAACTTTTGAAAAACCGAAAAATTGTAACACTGAAACATCAAAAAACAAAGTAATTAAAAATCGAAAAATTGAAAAAATCAACAAAGAGAAACAATTTTGCAGTTTTTCGATGTAAAATTTTTGAAATTCTCAATTTTTAATTCTTTATTTTCTCGATTTTTCATTTTTTAATTGTTCAGCAAAAGGACAAATTTATTCAAACCAAAATTTTGAAAAATTTAAAAATCAGAAAATTGTAACGTTGGAACGTCTAAAAAGTATAAAATCAAAAAATCTAAAAATTGGGAAGTCGAAGAATTGAAAAAAATGAAAAAATGAGAATTAAACAAGTGAATAATTGAAAAAACAATTGAAAAATCGAAAAATTGTAATCTAGAAACCTGAAAACCCTGATTAAATAAAAATCGAGAAATTGAAAAATTAAAAAAAACGAACAACAAAAATTTCTATAAATTAAATAATCAAAAATACAAAAAAATTTAATTTCAAAATCCAAAGATTTTAACATAAAACTTGAAATACCGAAAAATTGAAAAATCGAAAAGTATAAAAATTGAGGCATTGAATTCGATAATTGAAAAATCGAAAAATTGTAATATTAAAACCTCAAAACTCTGATTAATTAAAAATCGAGAAATTGAAAAATCAACAAAACGAAGCAATTCTGCAATTTTTCGATATAAAATTTTTCAAATTCTCGATTTTTATTTCTTCATTTTCTCGATTTGTTATTTTTTAATTGTTCAACAAAAAGACAAATTTATTCAAACCGAAATTTTTAATTGAATTGAAAAATCAAAAAATTGAAAAAATAAAGCAAACTTGAAAAAACCGAAGACTTAAAAACTGAAAAATGAAACTTGAAATATCGAAAAATTTAAAAATTGAAAAATCGAAAAATGAAAACATTGAGAAATTGAACAATGGGATAATTGAAAAAACAATTGAAAAATCGAAAAATTGTAATATTGAAACCTGAAAACCCTGATTAATTAAAAATCGAAAAAGTGAAAAATTAAAAATACGAAAAACAAAAATTTCTATAAATTAAACAATCGAAAATATAAAAAAAAAAATTTCAAAATTAAAAAAATTTAAAATAACCAGAAAACTAAAAAATTAAGGCATTGTAACAACGAAACATGGAAAAATTAAAAAATTTAAACATCGAAAAAACGAAACACTGAAAAACCGAAAAATTTTAAAGTTGAGAAATAGAAGAATTGAAAAATACAGAAAATGGAGAAGCCAAAAATTGAATAATAAAAACCCTAATAATTATTTGAAAAAAAGTGAAAAATTAAAAATCGGCAAATTTAACAATGAAACAATTACAAAATTGTAAATTTGAAAAAAAATGGAAAAATTGAAGAAATGAAAAATTGAAAATCAAAAATTGAAAAACCAAACTTGAAATATTGAAAAATTGAATAAATTGGCCAACTGAAAATTGGGTAGCGAAAAAACAATAAGGTAAATACATGGAATAACTGAGAAAAAACTAGGAATTGAAAAATCGAAAAAGCGAAAAATTGTAAAATTCAACAGATAGAAACAATTTCATAATGAAAATCGAAAAACTAAAAAATGGAAAAATCGAAACACGGAAAAATCGAAAATTTATCAATTAAAAAACGAAAAATATAAAAATCTCAAATTGAGAAATCAAAAAATCGGAGAAACAAAATAATTTGGAATTACCTACCTGGAAGTACTTTATTTTTTATTTTCTCAATTTTTTGTCTTTTAATTCCCCAACAAAAGTATAAATTTATTAAAACTGAAATTTAAAAAAAAAATCGGAAAATAAACACTGAAAACCCAACAGTTTAAAAATTGAGATATCAAAGAATTGAAAAACTAAAAACTCAAAATCGAATAATTAAAAGGTTAATAAAACAACTGAAAAACCGAAAAATTGTAATATTGAAACTTGAAAACCCTCATTAATTAAAAATCGAGAAAGTAAAAAATTGAAAAAACGAAAAATAAAAACTTCTATAAATTAAACAATCAAAAATACAAAAAAAAATTAATTTCAAAATCCAAAAATTTTAAAATGAAAACCGAAAAACTAAAAACTCAAGAAATTGTAAAAAAGAATCATGGAAAAACTGAAAAATTGTAACATCGAAACGACGAAACACTGAAAAACCGAAAAATTTAAAAACCGAGAAATCAAAGATTTGAAAAAATACAGAAACTGAAAAATCGGGTAATTAAAAAGCCAAGAGTTGTACACTTGAAAAAAAATCCTAATAATAATTATTTGAAAAAAGTGAAAAATTAAAAATTGGGAAATTTAAAAATGAAACAATTACAAAATTGTAAATTTGAAAAAAAAATAAAAACGTAAAATCGAAAATTTGTAACATTGAAACCTGAAAAAGTGATAAATTAAAAATTGAGAAATTGAACAATTGAAAAAACTAAAAGTTGTAAAAAGATGGAAAATCGAAAAATTAAAAAGCAACTTGGAAAATCGCAAAATTAAAAAATCGAAACATACAAAAATTTTAATGAAAAATAAAAATCATAATGAAAATCGAAAAACTAAAAAATCGAGAAATCGAAAAATGTAAAAACGAAACACGGAAAAATTGAAAAATTAACAATTAAAAAAAAACAAAAATTTAGAACTCTCAAATTGAGAAAATAAAAAATCGAAGAAACGACACAACTTGGAATTACATACTTGTAAGTATTTTATTTTTAATTTTTCATTTTCTCAATTTTTCGTTTTTTTAATTTGTCAACAAAAGGACAAACTTATTGTAAAACTGAACAATTGAAAAATCAAAAAATTAAAAACTGACAAATTGAAAAAGAAACATTGAAAAACCGAACAATTTAAAAATTGAGAAATCGAAAAACTGCAAAAATGAAGAAACTCAAAATCCAATAATTTAGACGTCAACAATTGGAAAAAGAAAAACTGTAACCTTAAAAATGAAAAAACTGAAAATTTAAACAACAGATCGAACAATTGCAAAATTGAATATCAAAAATTGAAAAAACAACTGAAAATTTGGAAAATTGAAAAAACAAACACTGTAAAATCGAAAAACTGATTAATTGAAAATCAGAAATAGAAAAATAGGGAAAACAAAATTTTCTAGAAATAGAAAAATCGACAAATTGTAAAATTCAAAAGTTGTAGAATGTCAAAATAAACATCAAAAACTGTAAAAATAAAAAATCGAAAACTGAAAAATTGAAAAAAAAGAAAACAGAACAATAAAAAAAAACTAAAATACCGAAATGTTGAAAAAATATCGAAATTGAAAAAATCAACAATTGAAAAATCAAAAAATAAACAACTGGACGATGAATTTGACAGAAATGGCACTAAAAACACTAAAAATTATACACACTAGTCCGTGCATGTATATCAAAGATTTTGAATAAGTATAAAACATCTTTGGTGTCTAATAGATGGCGCCCGACTTGACACCTAAAAACATCAACAATTTGTAATTGGAATGGAATACGATCATTATATTGGCGATTATTTTGTTGGTTAAAATTTGTCAACAAAACAGTTTAAACCTGTCCTCAATAATATTTTCCAAGAGTAAACAGAGTTGTTAAAAAAGACCCTCTGTTCGTAACAAACCGTTGAGTAGGAAAGTTGTAAAATTGTAATGAAATTACTTTTGCTTCCAATTCTACATTACATTACTTACCTTTTAAAATTTTGAGTTTTTAATAAAATACCGTTTGTTCTGTTATCATTTCATTGGTTTGACATGTTTATGTTCACTTAACCTCCAAATTCATTATTAGTAAAAACTGTGCTCAATGGACGTCACCACTAGATTAAGTTGACCATGTACTGTCATTGGAACAATTTTAACAATGAAAAAGGAAAAACCGGTAGGTCATTATATTAAACGGAGTTGGCGATGGTACAACCAAAAAAAAAACAGACAAATTAAAAATTATTCAAAAAACTTTCTCCATATCGTTATATTGCTACATTTAGTTTAATCTTTTATTGGTTCAGATGGCGATTACGTATATGTCTTCTCAAGCCTGATTTTTCATTAGATTTATAAACACACTTTTCACATTTATACCACATATTATCATGACGTCCTCTAATATGCCTTTTTAAAGTAGACATATTTTTAGCTCTATATGGGCAAGTTTCACATGCATACCATTTAGTTTGGCATTCATCCAAATGGTGTGCATTAATGTGTTTTTGCAATTGGCAATTTGTTTTGGTTTTGAAGGGGCACTCTTGACATTCATACCATTTAATCTGGTGCTCGTCCAAATGCCGCCTATAGATGTGCTGCTTTAAATAAGTAGTGCTTTTAGTTTTGTAAGGGCACTGGTCACATACGCACCATTTGATGTCTTTTTCATCCAAATGACGTCTATTCATGTGCTTTTTTAAAGCATGTTGCCTTTTAGCTTTATATGAACACTGGTTACATTCATACCATTTGATATTTTCTTCATCAAGATGATGTGTTGTCACGTGACTCATTAACTGCGACTTTACTTTGGCTTTATAGGAGCAGTTGTTGCATGGATACCATTTAACATCATTTTCATCAGAATGTCGAAAAATTAGATGAGTTCTTAACGATTCTTTGTGCTTGGTTTTGAATGGACATTTTTTGCATTTGATCCACTGAATATCCTGTTCTTTTAAATGATGCACAACTAGGTGTCTTTTTATATGGCCATTTCTTTTAGCTTTGTATGGACACATTTTACACACATACCATTTAGAACTTTGTTCATCTAAATGCCTTCTTAAAGTGGAGTTGTCTTTAGTTTTATCTAGACGTGAAATTAAGTAATATCTTCTCAAATCTTTAACCACATTCTTTTTAACATCATTTACACAATCAAATTCTTGAGGACTTCCATTTTCATCAAAACATGTAACAGCATGTTGGAGTTGTTTAACGAGAGAATGTGTTTCAAAATTGCATTTTTTACAAACATAGTTCTGAATGAGGATTTCTTCATCTGGTGAATCTTTCCTGTTTTCTGTTTTGATGTTATGATACCTCCTAAGGTGGTACTTGAAAAGAACTGTGAGGTAAGTTTGAAAACCACAGTCCTTGCAACAATAAGATTCAACAGGGGTGTCTTCACAGTTAAAAGGTAACAAAGAAGTACGATGGCGTCGAACATGGTTCACCATAAGAAGCATTGATGATGTGAAGTATGGACAAACAGTACAGTGGTGCACATTTTTCGGCGAAGATCTCTGGTTTACGAACGTCTTCGAAAATTCAATGAACATTTTACTTTAAAGCAGCATAAAAACAAATCTTGTGGAACGTGTCACCAGTGGGTAAACTTATTGTTTGCGGTTAATTTAACCTAAGAAAACTTCAAATATATCCAACTGCGATCGGGCCTAAAATCATTATTGTTAAAATTGTAACAATTTTGGTGTTATTCTTTACCAAAATCTACATAGTAGTGTTCAAAGTTTAAATAACAAAAGGATAAAACCTCATTATTGTCACCGAAAGTTGTGGTTATGCAACCCGCAGGACGATGTGTCAACTGCAATAACAACAGACGTGGGAAGTAATGCAGACTATGTACCCTTCTACAATTTCTTTTTTAATTTTTAAGGGGACTCGCTAGACGAGGTATAACATTTTTTTGGTTTTTTGTATGAAAAAATGATATTAATATCAATATATCATACATCAAACTGCAGCTTTTTTCATATTCTAGAGCGCAGAGACCAGTTCAATCAACTAAAAAAATATGGGTGAGAAATATCTTAAAAAAGCACCATTGTATGTTTTCTTTTCAAGTTTTTTGAGTCATAACCATCATAGAATCGCTTGAAAATTCGCACATGGATAAAACATCACTTTTTACAGGGCGCAGAGTCATTAAATGTTTGTGAGTGTTTAAATAATAATGTGTTTATTAAAATCAAAATATATCACAAATTAATGCAAAATACGTCGAATAATTTTAACAGGAATATCAGAGGAAAATTAATGATCTATTGGTTAGCAGAGTTTTTAATAAAAACTAACAATTATTGAAAAAAATGGGTATCAATTCGACAGAATTTGAACAGTTAGTTCAATACTTTGCCGATAGGAGCGCCACTAAAATTTACGGAAGCGACTTTCCAGGTAAAACCCTTATCGCCTGCTCTACCATAAGCTGATTGTTAGAGTTCTCGACTGATTTTTCTAATTTATGGCAAGGAACTCGGTTTTATAACAAGCCGCCAGGACCGTCCGTAGTAATCTATTGTTAAGGAAATTAACTTTTACGCAATGAGGTACTATCATAAAACCGAATTAAAACTGGGGAACTATGATATTTTTACTCCACTCAGGATCCTGAATTCAATACACATGATTACTAAAAATTCATTGTAATATTATTGTTAATATACATTTTGCTTTGTTAATTTTTAAAACTAATAAACATATTTATAATAATAATAAAAAATATATAAAATACAGCTTTTGTTTAACACGTATAAGCAGCTAAGTGTATCTACTACTTATCTCAGAAAGGAGGTCTTTTAAAAAAGCCCTACGCCCAGTAACTTCTCCCTTCATTGTTTACTCGAAAAAAGTGCTCATATATGTTTTCATTTGCCGAGAGATCATTTTCAAAATATATTTATAATAAAAATATGCAAGTCTTGGTGATGAAAAATGTACTCCTAATAAATTATTAAAGTACATAAAAAAATAGAAACAATTTTTACTTATTTAAAAAAAATCTCTCGCAAAGGCAGGTTCCTCATTCTTTTTGAATCAGTTATTTCGGGCAATAATGCGCCAAAGTAAAATCTGCCAAATTTATCTGCCATCTTTTTACATATTTCTTCGTCTTTATAAATTTTTTCTATATTTATTCCTTTGAGTATCCACACAACAAAATAAATTTGTGAAATACCCGTAACAAACATTTGTCCCTGGACTTGAAAGTAGTAATCATGATTTTTTTTTAGTTTCAATTCTCTGTCTGTCAATGTACAAAATTTGATTATTTTTTTTCTAACCGCTTCTTCGCGAGACAAATCTTGAGATTTTGAAGGGCATTTAATTTCGACTAATGCACTCCTATCCTCTAGAACCCTGTCTCGACTAGCAGCCAAGTAAGGAAATTGTTTTGAAATAAACAAGCCACACCGTTCAGTTTTTATATTTTTATTTATTTCAAAACACTTGACAGCTTTTTCCTCACTTTGCTGTCCATAGTATGTATGACTATTACCTCTAAATGTACTGTACAACAAAGACTCCTCAGTTTTAGCTATTGCTGTAGTCGGTCTAAGTTTGTAAATACGTCCAAAATTTGAAGCCGTAACCCTAATTTCTCTTTCTTTTGTCCAAATGTGCCTGTTGCCTAGTGTCTATTTCAATTTGGTCTAAATTCAAAGATACTTTTCTCAAAAAAACCTCTTTGGCTGTCACAAATGTTTCTACATCCATGACAGGATTTTCTAAATATTTAAACCATAATCGCAGTCGGAACCAGCATACGTACATTTTTTTACGACATATTTTTTTACGAATACTTTGTCTAAGACGAGCTTGTTTCATAGACGAACAATATTTTTTTGTTATTAAACCAGGACATTTTTAATCAAAATATATTTACTTATCCCCTCTAAAAAATTTATGACGTCATCTCATGCTAAATAAATCCTATCTAAAATGTAGAAAATATGATGAGTCTCTTCTTGTAATTTATCATCCCATTCATATTTTTTGGATTCGGATATATAGGGTGACAAAAAATTTAATGAATGCGCAAACTTATTTTATTAATTTAATCAGGAACTACAAAACCGAATGCTTTGAAATCTTGGAAATGTTTTAAATTTATCATAAGCATGGTCAATTTTTTATCAAAATATATTTGCTCATCCCTCCTAAAAAATGGATGACGCTACCCTAAAATTTTGCTGAATAAATCCTATCTAAATTGTATAAAATATGATGAGCCTCTTCTTGTGATTTATCATTCCATTCATGTTTTTTGGATTTGCATATACAGGTGACCCCAAAAATTAATGAATGCGTAAATTTATTTGATTGAGTTAATCAGGAACTACAGAACCCAATGCTTTGAAATCTTGCAAATGTTTTAGGGTTATAAAGAGCATAATAAATTTTTAGTCAAAATATATTTGGTTATCTTCTCCAAAAAATTGATGATGTCAGCTCAAAAGTTTGCCGTATAATCCTATTTAAAATGTACAAAATATAATGAGTCTCTTCTTGTAATTTATCATTCCATTCATATTTTTTGGATTCGGATATACAGGCTGACTCAAAAAATTTAATGAATGCGCAAATTTATTTTATTGATTTAATCAGGAACTACCAAACCGAATGCTTTGAAATCTAATGTGAAAAAAAACATAATAGGCATGCAGTCGTCACGTTTCCGATAGCGAGGGAAGTACTGTCTAAACTCTTTAGACCAATTTTTTTAATTTTCCCATTTCTCCATTTCTCAATTTTTCAATGTTTCAGTTCGGAATTTTTTCACTGTTTGGATTCTTTAATTTTTCTTTCATTTTTAGGTTTTTCAATGCTTCAGCTTTGGAATTTTGCAATATTTCGTTTCTTCAATTTTTCAAATTTTTGATATTGTGTTTTCTCGGTTTTTAAATTTTTCGATATTTTAATTTTTCAGTTTTTATAGTTTTAGGTTTTTAGATTTCTCACTATCTCGACTTTTCGGTTTTTCAGTTCCATGATTTTTCAATTTGTCGAATTTTTAAATTTTAGGTTTTTTGTTTTCTTTGATGTTTTGAGTGATCATTCGATTTTCTGAGTTTTCAGGCTTAGATTTTTTTTGTTGTTCAATTCTTGGATTTTTAAAATTTTTGTTTTTTAAATTTTCCTATTTATCAACTTATTTCAATGTTTTGATTTTTTGATTGTTCAATATCTCGATTTTTTGAATTTTTAGTTTTTGATACGATTTTTTTTTTCAAAAATTTTCAGTTTTTCAATTTATTAACTTTACGATACTTCAGTTTTGCTCGATTTCGATTTCTCAATTTTTCGACATATATATTACTATTGGGATTTTTCAATTTATCGATTCTTCGATTTCTCGAATCTTCATATTTTCGGCTTCTCCAATTTCTCATTTTTCGATATCTCAATTTTCCGATATTTCGGTTTTACGATTTTTAATTTTTTTTATTTTTCAGTTTTCAATTTTTGACGTTTCTAAATTCTTCGATTTTTAAATTGTTCAATTTCTCGATTTCTAGATTTTTCAATTTTTCGGTTTACCGATTTTTTTCATTTAAAATGTTTCAATTTTTCAATTATTAAGTTTTCGATTTTTCAATTTTGGTGTAATTTGAAAACGGCATCAATAATACATTTAGGCGAATAAACTGATAGACGGGCTTGATAAGCCTTGTTTGGTCTGCAGTGTCTAAATTGTGTTTGAATAATATAATAATTATCTCGAATATTAAAATTAATATGTCAAAAAAATACGAGAAATGATTATTCTGCATTATTGGCTTACGACGCTTTTATGACCCACGTCCGGTAGTCGTCTATCCCAGCGCGTCAGGTAGATTTAAAGAAGAATTGCTGGTTGCGTTTAAGGCAACAAATGGCGCCCAATTCAAACTTGTCTCTCGTCTAGCGTTCCCCCTTAACTGATCATCATGAAACTTTGTACACATATTTTTGGAGGTACTAGAAGTAAATAGGATACTTTTTATTAAAAAAAAATGTATTTTTTACTATAGCTTCCAATTGACTATAGTTTCAGCTGTTTGGAATTTTTCTATATTTATTTTTATTTTCGTCTGTCATTTTTATATGTATATTTAATGACTTAAATGCGAGCGAAGCCGAGGGTAAAAGCTAGTCAAACATAAATTGAAATTGTACTCTCTTATCAAAAAATAAAGTTATTTTTCTTTTGTAAGAATTTATTAGACCCACGTAGCAATATTTATAATGAATTTAATAAAATCTTTAAATCGTACTACATACGTTTTTTTCAAATTAGATTAAAGAGGTACAAGGTGTCAACAATCCACTAACATATTTAGAGATTTTGTTAATTTTCACTTTCATTAAAAATTAAAAAGAAATCGCAGAACGTCATATAGTCTTCATTATTTCCAACGTCTGTAATTATTGTGGTTGAAATTGAAACAACTGTTTTGCAGGTTGCATATCAATAACACTGATTGAGGTTAAGTATTGTTTTATTATTTAAATTTTGAACACTATTAATACTATTACGTATATCTTGGTAAGGAAAACACCAACATTGTTCCAGATCTAACAATAATGATTTCAGGTCAGGTCGCATGTGGAAATATTTGAGGTTATGTTAAACAGTAAATTTACCCACCGGTAAAGTAAAATGTCCATTGAATTTTCGAAGACGTTCGTAAACCAGAGATCTTCGCCGAAAAATGTCCACCACTGTACTATCTGTCCATACTTCACATCATCGATGCTTCTTATGGTAAACCACGTTCGGAGCCACCGTACTTCGTTGTTACCTTTT